TTTGTTTGTTTGTTTGTTTGTTTGTTTGTTTGTTTGTTTGTTTGTTTGTTTGTTTGTTTGTTTGTTTGTTTGTTTGTTAGCAAAATAGCTCTTGAACCACTGAACAGATTTTATTTAATCCCTCAAAAACTAATCATTTTCAACTGCTTCACATTTAGCATAAACCAAATTCAAGCTGGTCGCCTTTACTGATCCACCTTAGCAAGGACAAAAATGACTCTAACCCAGGTAAATCTAGCAGATATTTAGCTGAAATCTGGTGTGGTAGTAGTTGTGAGTCCAATACAGGTGCTAACATGCGAAATCTTGATTTTAAAAGTTTGTAAATGCAAGGCCGGGAATATCTTGAAGGCTGCTTATACTCATGTTCTTATTCGTTAGGTGTGTTCTAAGCTGTAAAAACAAAATGTAAGATTTGCGAATGGTTTGTTTAAAAATGTATCTTTTTTTTTACAGCAAAACAAAATCCATGCATCTGATCATGAAATGACCATGTTTAATTCTGATAACTCAGCCAACAATTCTGTTACCTTCAAACATGTTTTTTCTTTTTTAGAAATACACCAACATTTTAAAACATAAAGGCCTTTTTTGTTATTGCAGTAGAAGTTAAATTTATTGATACGAAATTACAAAAAAATGTGTCAGTGTGGTACGTAGTGTTAATTATGTCCTTTTGTATTCATAAAAAACAAGAGTAAAGAAGACAGAAGGATAAAAATACGACAAAGATAAATAAGCTTAGTGGTTCAGCCTTATACATAATGAGAATGAAAATGTGTTTAATCTTAAAACACAGCCCCTATAAAGGTTAGTATTATTAGTATCATTAAAATTGTTTGGATCGATCCCTTACCTCACTGAYGTAAAAGTCAGATAAAATGCTACAWGAGCGTTCAGACTGAGGTCGTTTTGAAAAACACCCAATGTGTATCTGATCTGCATACTTAAAAGACCTGGGTCAGGTTTGAAAATAAAAATTATGGTGCACATGTGAATTTATAAACAACCCAGCCGCAGAACAGTAACGGACAACTTTGGCAAGGTAAAGCAAAAGAAATAAAACCCACCAATGGCTTCTTGGCAGCACCACGAGACCCAACAGAAAGAGAGCAAAAGAATAAAAAAATAAAWTAAACTTTTTAGCTTCTGCCTCAGTATGTTTTGTCACCGTGGTTGTCAAAGGTGTCAACACCGTCAAAACCAGCAAGATGGATGACTGAACAGAAAGAAGGAAACACTTAACAGATACTGTACTGTTTTTACAGCCCAATGAAGGTTTTTCTCTGTTGTGAGSAAACTGACTGATTTCAGTGTTAATAATGTGAAGGGTGTGGGGTTATTGTGACACTTCTGTGTGTTAGGGCTGAGGAGTGCGGTTATACTTTGTTTGGGCTGCAGTGTACGTACACCATTAACACACAGACTCAATGAAATGTTAGCTGACCTGTAGAGCATGCCAGTTTTATGTGCCACCGTTTCGTCTTTGCCCAATCCGAACATCCTCAGGTACCAGCTGGTCTCCAGCTCTCGGATCAGCGCTGCTTTGTGTCTCTGCTGCGCCACCTTTTTGCTGGAGAGGGAGTTGCGCTTCGCATCTTGGGAGTTGCTGCGTTGGGCTTTCGACCCGCTGAGGGAGGCCACCGACTGTCTCCGGTGAATGTTGGGCGGTTGGTGTCCGCCGCCATGGCCCCCAATGCCCCCTCCGCTGCTCCGGGCAGCTAGCATGGCCCGAGAGGTTCCCCCCTCTCCTCAAGGGCAGGGTTCGGGCGTGCAATTCTGAAGTTCAAAAAAGTTGGAAGGTTTGTCACCTTTTGTTTGGAGCTGCAGTTTTYCTCAGTTTTGTATAAAACTGATTGTCCTGTGGCTAACAAGCAACCCCTTGTATTCTAGGTTTCTGCTGTCTAAGATCTGAATCCTTATTGCTTCTTTTTGACCGTCTGTCCTCCCGTCTGGGCAGGGTGCTCTCTGGTTTTTTTATAGTCTCATCCAGCCTGAAACTAGATCCTGGTTTCCTTGTCTCGTCACAGCCTGTCCTGACCTAAAAGGAGGCAGCCAAACATGCAAAGGTGTCAACAATGCATGCTCTCTCAAACACACACACACACACACACACACACACACACACACACACACTGCATACATGATACTTGTACACAATACACTCAAGTGCTAAAGCAACACCCAGAAATAGACGTAAAAAATATAATGTTACACACCATTAGCACAGGCCCAGGCTCATAATGAGTTTGGAGAAACAATCTTTATTTGAGTACTGTATAACACAAATACAGGCTGTGTTACCAGGGCTGGTCCCGGCTCAGTTTGGACGTTTCTCCAGAACCACTTGAGAGTCTTAACACCATTCTTGTGTAACAGGACTCCAGGCCAATATGAGAGGAACACTAATTTACACCTTTGTCACCAAGCATAACAAGAAGAAAGCCCAAACTGTTTGCAKTTCTACATCTTCAGAATTTAAAAAAATATATATAAATATTGCTTACAAAACATTATTACCTACAATATGTAACATTTTTGGTACCTGCTCTTAAAATTGTAAAGTTGAAGTCTGAAGGGTTCAGCACGGTGACATTGCATCTTCTTCTATTGTTAAACTCAAATGAAAAATGTATAAAATTATGTTAAGTGGAAACTTGATGTATACACCAAAAAAAATACTGTAATGTCATACAGTTGCATTCTAGTTTTAAACTGGCTTATTTAGTTTAACTTCATGGAGTGCATTCAGGATCAACTGCAGATCAAACATATAAATATTGATGCTCAGATCTGCTGGTAAAGAYTCTTAGTCATCCAKGACATGGCAAGTTGAAAAAAGAAAGAAACTGGACTTTCATGATGTAGAAGAAGTTGACATTTTCTATTCAAAACTGGAGATGGTAGAGCTCCACACTTTAAAAATTCCTTCTCTTGAGGCAGAGGCTGACCCTCTACCTTGAGGATGAGCTCCACCTTTTTCTGGTTGAGAAACTCAATCTCAGAAATAAAAGAGCTGAGACGAAAATAAAATCCACTGGTCTATCTACATTTCAACCCTCGTGAGGTGTGGATCATGACTAAAAAACAAGATCCTGGATACAAGAGGCCAAAATGAGCTTCCTCTGTAAAGTGGTTGAGCTCAGTCTTAAGAGTCAAGGATCTCTGTCATTTTGGAGTAGAAATGCTGCTCCTCTGCATGGAAAGATGTCCAATGAGGTTATTTTCTGATTAGGGTCCAATCTGGGCACCTAAATTTGGATGTTTTCTTGGTACGTCCCAGTAGGAGAAGACCCTGGGTCAAACCCAGAACTTGCTGGTGTTAACATTACACTGGGAGGAGAGTGTGGAAGAGGTTAATAAGGGAAAGAAGGATTGCTTCAAATAGGGGTGGCGTACTTAATGCAAGGCCTTTGCCAGAAGTACACTATACAGGGCCTASAGTCTGCCGGGAATTACAGGATTACAAAAAAGAAAAGTCATCAACTTCCACCATCGACTTAAAAAAGCTGGATCATGATGGGCAGGCATTCTTGGACACAGGCTGGTCTGTAATCAGTTCTGGTTGGGTCACCTGGGAGAGGAGGTCTGAYGACGGAAGACCCAAAACCACCTACAACACCAGGTAGGTACTGCTGATGTGTCCAAGTGCATCAATATGCAACAACTATATCCTTTCTGACTGGGGAATGCCTTGGGATCAGTTTCAGCTGGTGAGTGTCACTCTTTAGAGAKAACTCTGTGTTTCCTTCCTAAGTCTGATACTTCCACAACCCAACCACAGATAATTTGCTGAAAATAAACGGGTGGATAGATTTRGAGATAAGTCAGCTCAATAGTCTTCTTGTATTTTCCTTCCTGTTCAGCTGACGGTCAATATTTCTTGCCATAGTGAGACAAGGAGAAAGATACAAGGCAGCATGGTGTAAAATGAATATATGGAGGTGAGAGGAGAAACCCATAGGATGCATTGTTCATAGATCCAGAGAGGGATTGTACTCCRATGAAATGTTATTTTATGGAATGTACTAAAGTAGAGAACAAGACAACGTGTCTTTTTCTCTGGACTGAGCACAGGTTGGGTTTAAGCTTGAAGAAGTTTGACATTATTCTGTTTAAATTCATTAAAAACTGGGTGGAAAAGTCCAAATACCAGGGGTGGTTCTAGGGGCGGGGCCACAGGGGCATTGGCCCCAGCTGAAATCTGATTGGCCCCCTGAAGTGTCCCTGTCCTGTCACTCATCTGTCYTTTGCCTGAGAGCAATAATGATGGTTGCAGTTCCATGTCCAAACACTAGTGGAGCTACTGAGTCAAATAGTAAAGTCCAGCATGAATCAAGCTTAGCGAAGTCCTCTTCTTTTCTTATGAAAGTTTGAAAAATCCTGCAAAAAATCTTTCAACTGACAAACAATGACTGGATTTTCTCACATGCTGTGCTTGAGAGTATTTAATTTATTTACAGTAAAAATGAATGTAAAATTGGTGAGGAGAATTTAATGTACAAGCTTTTTTTAAAAAACTACATTACTTTTCAAGTATTTGAACATGTGTGACTGGTTAAATCTATACACCTTACCAAAACAAGGGATTTGTGTGCAAGGATGTTGAACAAATACTTGGCCCCTCTGTGAATATTGTGGCCCCTTGATGGGCCCTTATTCAGAAAAATCCTAGATCTGCCACTGCCAAAACCAGATGTTTTGGGGGGAAAAAAAGTTTGTTCTCATGGCTGCTTAGCATAAAGAAGCATGAATAAAAAAGTGATATATACAGTGGTTTGCAAAAGTATTCATACCCCTTGAACTTTTCCATATTTTGTCAC